CCCGGGCGCTCAGGTCTCCATAAATCTTCACCATGACGGCGAGTTCCTGGCCCGGTGCAGGTTGCAGGGCCTACAGAAGAATATGGGCCCCCACTTGCTTTGCTAGGTCTGTCTGTACAGTGTGGTCAGGATGTGGGGGTCTCGCTCACGGCAGCAGCAGAGACCAAGTGAAAGGTCTCATGGGAGGCAGGGATAACATCAACAGTGATCTATAGGTCACTGCGCTCACAACTCTCTGTCTGCTGTGTGCGCGAATGAAGAGAGAGAGAACGTCTACTGAGAGGGAGAGAGAGAAATGCTCTGATTGAACCTAGTCATCACAAAGAGATAATGTCCACAGGGCCTGTGTGCGCGGCATTTTAACAAAGTGTAGAAAAGAAGAGTGTGTTATGATCGTTGAGAGGGTCGCTGAGCTCAGCGGAGGCCATCGTTAGGATGTCTGCTGCCCTTGTGTGCTTCCTTCCCTACAGACTTCCCTCTATCAACAGGTGACCAGCAAGCAGTGCTGAGGACAAACCTGCACTGACTGAAGTGTGAATGATACATGAAGATGAGTGCTAATGCCTCACATGTGGATTGCTTGTAGTTTCAGAGTACGGTCACAACCTTTTCATCAAGCTAACTCGGCCAAGTCTCATCTTGTCGCCCCAAAGAAACACATGAAAAACTAAAATGCAGAACTCTTCTTTATTTAGTTTCCTGTATTTGAATTTAATTTGGATGGAAATTCTGATCAAAATGGAAAAACAATTATTATTCAGTTATTAGGATAAAAACGATTGCCCTTTTTATATTCGTCATAAATATGTCGAAATATTCATTTTATAATTCATTGACAAACACACGTACAAAATGGGAGTTGATTTCTTTTTATCTAGGTATTATAAATCTCCCATAAACCCTGGGTTTTTACAGCATCAAATATAAAATCTATCATCTCCTTTATGTTAACAACAGAGAGCAGCAGCAAAGTATAAAACAGTTTTATATACGGGATTTCAGTAAGTGAGCATTAATAGAATTGTAAGTGATACAGTGTTGATTATATTAAATATAACAGAAAAGCCACTTTATGTCACCCTTCACTTTCTATACGTTTTTTAAAGCCTGTTTGTGAGAGCTGTAAGTGGGCCTGACCTGGGTTAGTGTGTTTAGTTTAGTGTGTGTGACTGAGCTGCGTGGCACAGGCATGAAGTATGGAGCAGCGGAGGGGAGTTGGCTGACTGTCCCACCGAGTCCAGAACTCGCTGTTTGTGTTGGCACCCCATCCAAGAACCCGCCAATCCAAACACTAGAGGGCTGTTCACAGGCCATTACCCGTGTGATTGACACGTCGGCCCACCACTCAGAGGACCTGCACATGAAGGACACCGTGTGTTAGTGCCAGGAATTTGTCGCTGAGGGGTGATGATATGGCAGCTGATTGATTGACCTGTTATAAGCGTTTCACAGGGTTTTGTTGGTTTAAATAGAGTCGATTGGGACTTCATTCTCTGATGATTATTTTTCTTTTTGACTAGTCATACTTTCCTTTTGTGGCAGCATATCGAGATACCGATTGATCATTATCGGCACTTACTGCAGGACTCCACTGGAGCTAAGTCATGGAGCTCAATAGGACTTTGCCATTCTGGCGTTTATACGACTCGGTTATGTAAGCATTGCTCCTGACAGGGTTGATTTGAACATAAACACACTCTGTTAAAGTCTAACTCAGCCATGTAACATGACTGATGATGACTTATAGGCCTTGATTATGTGTCATGATATAATTCAACAGTATTGACCAGGTCATTATGATCGGAAATCGTAGAATTACATCACCCTACTGCCAGACCTCGTCTCACAGTATGGTGATTCCTGGTTTTGAATACCAGAATAGCAAGGCTTACAGTATTTTAGTTGCAGGTGGGCTCATATTGAAGGAGGCCATCTGAACAAAGGTACGTTATTAGTCGTCATTCACACAGCCACTTTTAAAGTTAGGGTAGGTAAGAATGGAGAAACCAGCTCGAGTAAACTAGCATTTGAAAGTACACAACCGAAAAAAATCTGCCCCTTCCTTCAGACTTCCTTACAGAGCCCCTCCTCCAACACACACAAACGCGCACATGACCAATGAGGGCACGAGACAAGTTTGTGCACGAGGTGGAAGGCTGACAGGCAGGTAGGCCATCCAATGATCTGCCGGGCCGAGGCAGATAATTGGACTTGCTTTTTACAGCGCCACGGCTTCCACAGAAGAAATATTTGTATATTATATTTATTGTCAAAGCATTTAATTTATTCGTTGCTATCGGGATGTTAAGAGCATTCCATGGAATATAACAAAAAGTGTTTCTGAAGGGAATTACCTACCCCACCTTTAAGGTACTTGTCTGGTAAACATTTTGAATAATCAACCAATGCTGTAATTTTACCTGCCAAGACTCATACAAAGTGTCAAAACTGTCTATCATTAGCGCGTCTCATGCATGTTATTCCTGAGAAAACGTGAGTTAAGGCATGCTGGCGGCCTCATGGAAGTGCCGTCCTCAGCGTTTCTGTGCTGGGAAAGCGAGCTCTGTGGCATTGGTTCTCACCATTAACAGGGTTTCCCTCCTGAATAGGCCCTGCCAAACTATGCAGCGTCCCGCAGAGTCCGAGATGAGGACATGGGCTTGCAGTGAAGCCTAGCGATTCCTACTTCCTATCAATGACAAGAAGCATCAATCTTAGCTGCCCTTAGTCCTAGGCCCTGCCAAGCACGATTCCATTGTGAAGAAAAAAAGAAAACTGCTGGAATTAAACAAAGACTGGATTATCCTCTCAATATGTCTTTTAGCAGGACAGTTCTTCTCTGAATCCCCCATGGTTCAGAGCGGAAGAAGCATCATAATTTTAGAGCTTGACTGCTGTAGATGCCGTCAGATTTATTGGTGTGTTTCCTCTCTCATCTCACACCCTTGCCTTGTCTGCAAACTATTGCGTTGAGAGGGCAAATAAAGTTTGAAATAAAGTCCAGCCCTTTTCCTTAGACTTAATACAAAAAAACACAATTTAACACTGTATGTGACGCTTCCAAAAACATTCCTTGTGACATTTATTCTCTCACACCTTCTGAAACCCAGCAATAACCCTGTTAAATAAGCAAGGTGTGGAGATTGCTTGGGAGCTCCTCTGGGTTTCCCCAAACACTTGAGGAAGTCCTCCTAGTTGCAGTGATTGGGAATGTGTCCGGACAGATTGTGGTGCTACTCCGCTCACACTGCACACCTTCAATACCTTCAGTTCTGTGTTTGTTCAGGTGCAGCAGACCAGTGTTTTTTCGACTGCCTTGCTACCATTCACAAGTATATTAAAAAGCGAGAGAGGAAGAGTTTTACGAGCTTTAACACTTTTACAATGTAAAAACCTCACAAATTCAAATGTGATGGTTTTGGCATTCTCAGATAGGTTAAAGGACTAGTTGACATTTTAAGAAATCTTTTTTTTACCTTGTCAGCCATGGACTTAGATGTTAGACGATAACATTAAGACAACCCTCATGTCTGCACAGTAAATATAAAGCTACATAAAGGAGAGGCTTAAGTTGGCAAAAAGAAATGAGCCTACAGCTCTGGAGAAAATTAGGAGACTACTCAGTTGTTATATGTATGGCAGCCATTCTATTCCAGTGTCTGTTGAATTCCAACAAAGAGAAATGTTGTCAGTAAATTATAGAATAAAAATAAATAAATAATAAAACCAGAGAAACTGATAATGCTGCAGTGGCCACAGTTTAAAGGTGGTTATTTGACATATTGTATATCCTCGTTTCAGTTGGCCATGACATATTTTTCCTCATAACCCCTTGTAAAACAATACATTGCTGTTTTGCTATATTGCATATTGCTATCTTCTGTTCTTTACTGTCCACTAGAAGCGAATAATCACATTTCTCAAGATGTCGGTGTGATGAAATTATTGGAGCAAAGAACTGGAAACACATGGTAGACATTTACTGAGACACCGTAGTGACACCACAGCCTCCGCTCAAACCAACACACTTAACCACTCCTAATCAGTAATCAGCATTATACTACAGACGCTGCAGGTTCTGTCCCTGGCAGGGTCAAACTGTCCTGTTGTTGTCTAAAAGAAAATATTTGTTTACGGTCCTATCTAAGACACATACAACTTTTTAGATAAATAAAAGATGTGCATCGTCATCAAGCTAAAAATAGTGTTAAATGTGTATTTGGGCTCACACACAGTGCGTAATGCTAGAAGTTTAATTGCTTGATAATTGATCCCTTAATCACACATCAAGGCTGCTTCATAAAACTTAAACCTCATTTAATAACTTGGGCTGCTTTTATTATAACAAATACATCTCTATACATAGACTATATGGGGCTCTGTGGTTCTGGGATATTTGAAGGTTACTTTTCTCTCTTGTACTGCTGCAAAGGCCAGAGTGGACTGGAGGTGCCAAAAAGCACAGACTAGACGGGGTGGTCCGGAAACAGCCCAAAATCCAGTGAAACTTAACAAGCATGTTTCCGTTGGATGTTAAAATGAAGTGTAACACAGATATTAATGTAGCAAGTATCACAACACAGCAGAGGAATGTAAACTGGAGCACTGGGACATCAAGCTGGACACTAACCAGCTGCAGCCGAATACCCCCAACCGCCATAAGAACCTGAACGCCTCCTCCTCCAGCGGCCAGTTACACTCAAGCCTCAGGTTTTCATCACGGCTGGCCAGGAGCAGGACTCAAACTACTCCTTATGGGGTTGAACGTGTTTAGTTACTCATCTGGGGAGGTTGGGTTTTGAGATAAATCACTTGTGGTGATGTAAAGGCAGCTGAATGTGTGTGAGGGTTCAAGGCCCGCATATAAATCTCATGAAAGATTATATGTTAGCTCTGTAACATGTTAATGAGCAGGTAATGCAGCGATAACCGCTGAGATTTGGACTCTTGGGCTCCTGTTTCATGTTGGATCTATGTGTGTGTTTGTTATTTTCCTACAGAGGTGTCCTTCATTTGGGCTGCTCACCAGGTTCACCACAGTTCAGAGTACTACAACCTAACCACCGCCCTCAGACAGTCCCTCACCCAGCAGTTCACGTCATGGGTAAGATATAATTCATGCTCTCAAAGGATAGGTTGGTTGATTATCTAATTGTCAACATATAAATGAGAATAATACATTCATTATTTATAATACTAAGTGGTGTCTGTGAAGAAATATCTTATTCTTCTTCCCTCATACTGAATTCAATTAGTTCAATAACAATTAAATGGGACAAAAATGTATCAGAATGGATGACAAGTACGGTGACAAATTCAATTATACCTGTGATAATGACTATTAGGATTTGATGCCATTTTTTGTTTGCATTCTCGATGACGTCATGCACGTTGTGTAGCAAGAAGAGCTATGATTGGTCGGAAACCAATGTGTCTGTCATGTCAGAGCCATGGCAAAAATGTTCGACTACATTCATTTGAGACATTGACCATATTAACAGACACAAATATTATATTGTCTCAACCACTAAAGCTCTAAACTATTAAAAGTAGGTCACATGTGGCTGAGTAGCACAGACAACGTAGAAACGTTGGACTAATATTTTGGTAAGAGATCGACTATTGGCGGAATTATCTGTAAATCTGTCGAAGTTATATCAAGTGCTCCTAATTTCAGAGTGACATTACTAGCTGAGAGATTTTAAATGGAAAAGAACACCAGTAATTCCCTGTGTCAGATTTTCTACCAGCATCCACACATCTGGAGCAATAATGTAAGATATGTTAGTGATAGTGTTACTTGAATGTTTCATCTGTTGCACATAAATCCCTGGATGTGTTCCTAAATGAAGCTTTATGCTAGTGAAATAGGACATTGTGTATAAAGTATTCTCTTTTTTCTCCTCAGATTTTCTACCTGCCCATGGCTCTGTTTGCACCCCCCACGGTCTTCGCCGTCCACATACAGTTAAACCTTCTCTACCAGTTCTGGATCCACACTGAGGTAAATGTTTAAACACTGGTCATATATTTTGTTATTAATTGACTGTTTTTGTGGAAAACTCTAAAACAGCGATATGATCTGGATCTTTAAAAAATTGAAAGATGGGATAATGGGGAGTGGGCATCGATAATGATGTTTAATGGTTAAAGAATGTGACCATTGGACAGATGCAGTAAAACAACAACTACTATCAGTCATTACCTCCTGTACCTCCTGCGTCCTGTTTTATGTCTCTGAGTGAAACTCTGACTTTTACCTGCATTTGAAGTGTTAGGAAAGAAAGATGCTCTTTGTGACATTGCCCTTGTGTACTGTATACTGCAGGGGAATGAAATGATCAATTGATTTGTTTAAATAGACTTTTCTTTCAATTGAATACATTGTTAGTTGTAACTCAAATAGAATAATGGATAAAGAAAATACTTCTCAAATAGGAATATGTAATATTAGTCAAATCTGTAAATATATTGTCTATTCGTGCAGCACGTGTAGCTCTGTCTGCATTTCTTCTCCTCCATTCATGGTTGGTGTGCAAAGTTAAAAGGGTAATCCGACTGAACACAAGTCTGTAAAGTTATCTTTCTCCCCGTGCCAATACTAATATGTCTGCTGAGTCGAGCCTTTGTAGACCCCGTGTTGCAGTGGAACCTGTATTCAATAAAAATAATGAGATTTTATGAATATTCCAAACAGAAGCATGACCGCTCTCAGCCTTTAAAGCGACTGGGAGTATCACTGTTACAAGCCCCACAATCTGGAGAGGGAATGAATGGATTTGGAACGCCTTCCATCTTTTAGTGCACTATTAGTGAAAACAGTCGTAATAGTCACAATTTTCTGGAGGGATGTAATTTATGCCTCCTTTATGGGGCTTTTTTTTTTTGATGTCATGTAATTTATTGGCACGCTATACGCTGCGCCGCTTCAGCCTCAGAGCCGGAGTGAAGTGGTGGAGACCCTTTTCATTCAAGATAAAACTCTCACGACTGCCAGACGCAGCCATTACATGGGAATAATGAATCACTGAGAAATTCTGTCCAGCCGTGCACGTTTCTACAGACTGAGGGGTCTGCAGTACTGATGCCAAACATCAAAATATCTGAGAGTTTCATCAAGAATAGAAACATGAAGTTTGTGAAATATGCTCTGTGTGACCTCTGTAATCTTTAATGACTCACTGGGGCATCTGTTTAATATCAAAGAAAATAACATGATTTATGTTTCTTAGTTTTATGCAAAAAATGTCCTTTTACATGAGATTATTTTTACAAACTGCCATATTGTTCTCTTATCCTACCAGCAGACACATACTGTTCTCCACTAAACAATTGAACTGATTTGAGCTGATTTTGATTGAGGAAACAAACAAAATGATGGTTATTTGTGAGTGTTTGATTGATACTGATATTAATGGTGCTCTTCTTTTTCACATAAAAACAAACATAGGTGACCTAACTCAATACAAGAAACAAGTCTACCATAAAGCATCATTCGCAAAGTTATCCAAGGCAATCTGTTTGTTTTCTGGTTGGTCAGAATTACAGTATTACATAAAATTGGCAAGTACATCTTTGATACAAAAGAATACATTAGAGTAAATGATTAGTCAGTTGTCAGTAGTCAGATGAACTGGCACATATTTATGATCTTCAGACGATGAACCTTTATGACTTTGTTAACCCTCTGACCTTTTGTCTAGTGCCCCTGTCAAGTCAGAATATGTCTCTACCCCAAAATTGTAATACATTGAAATGTATATCCTCCCAAAATAATCTCCATGTAAACAACAAAATATTAAAATGGACATGTTGCGATAGAATTATGTAACACAATTACAGTATTCTCCCCGGTGGATGAACTGGAGATTGGGTTGTGATGATATTTACAGAACACATTATATGTTTACATTTCTTACTAATTTGTTGGGTTTCATTATTCTATTTTAGTTGATCAAAAACCTTGGACCTCTAGAGTGGGTTTTCAACACACCAACACATCATAAAGTTCATCATGGTGAGAACGACATTCTTGTCTTTAGATTTTTCCATGGCTTAGACTTAACATTAACAGGAAGAGCAAACATAAATACGTGATACAGGCTGAAATGTTAAAATGACACTTGGACTGATTTGGTTAGTTTAAATATGTTTGTTGTTCATCAGACAAAATATTATTCCAACAGGGAGGAACAGCTACTGCATTGACAAGAATTACGGAGGAATTCTCATCATATGGGACCGATTATTTGGTAAGAAAAAGTAATCAGAAATGTGGTTTTAATCCTGAAGATAATCTCAGTGCTGCTAACTATAGAGATCAGTGCGGGCATTAGCATTTGATCAGTACCAGAAGTAAAGATTCTGAATGTTTTTGATGAACAGTTATATTCATAATATAGGATTAGGATTCAAACTAAAGACTGCCTCCATTTCTTAGCTTTGCAATAAAACATACCCTATCCTCTTCTTTCATGAACTGCTAAATTAGCATTTACTGCTAAATGACAGCCTTATCTCCCCCTACGGACATAGAAGATATTAACTCTTGCTCACTGCTGCAAGATTATCTTCTTTTAAGGAGGGATGTTTTAGTGTACTTAACACTAGGAAGTGCTAAAGCATACCCTGACTTTGATGATGTGTAGCCAACTCACATTTATGATATAAATGTGTTTGTTTTTTTAAAGTTATGCCCCATATTAATGTATATTTATATGCATTTTTTGTAAATATTATTAAAAATCAATAGTTCAATTTTGCAGAGAGTGTTCGGTGCTTTATATTAATGAGTCATATAAAGATATTAGCAGCCTGTGGTTTCACAGGGCTTTAGATGTGACTGTTACGTGTCTCTCTTTAAAAATATAATAGTCTCCTCCTGTGTCCATGAAACGGTTGAAAGATGATATTAGTGAGCTGTTTTCAGCGTTCGTATCAGTACTGGTGTCTGTGACGCTTTGCCTCTCATTATTCTATAAAAAGTTGCGGTACTATCCATTATAGCATCAGCATGAAGGGAAACAGTGACTCTTTCAAATGTAGGTTTGCCTGCAGCCTTCATACACGACTCAGCAATTCTTCCACTAAACGTCAGCGAGAGGTAACTGATTACATTTTGTGGTTAATGTTATCCAGAGTTCCCTTCGGCTGTTTTTTTCTGTGGCTGCAGAAGGATTTACGTGTTTTATCCCAGGAGCTGTGATGCCAACTTTATCAATGTTCTTCTTTTGCAGGTTTTATATATTACTCTTTAAAGTATTGTATTGTATTTGGAGCAGTGGTGGTTCTAGACCAATTTGACTGGGGGGGCCACTGGGGGGCCAGTTATTTTCTGAGGGGGGCACAATAAATGCAGGACGAAAAAGAGAACTAGACAGTATGAAGTAATTGCGCATTAGAAAACAATGCAATACAGTTATTGGTATTTTTTCAGTACACTTATTTATTTCAGATAGATCTTATAGTTATTACTGTTAGCTTCAGCTTAAGTTATAGTGCAATGTTTGCACTAACACCATATTTATATAAAAATAAAGGCAATGAACAGTTACATCTCTACTTTACATAAGGGTGTCTGCACAATCTCACATTACAGAAACAAAATCCTGCGGTTTTTGGAAAACCGAGTACCAGAAAATATACATTTAAAAAAAAAAAAAAAAAAAACTTTCATTGTTAGGGGGGCCACAGGGGGGGTCAGGGGTCAGTGTTAGGGGGGGCACTGCCCTGCCCCCCCCCCCCTAGAACCGCCCCTGATTTGGAGTATTCATATCCACAAGTTGGGAAAATGTATATGTCATATTCCAGACTGGACTAATTTTGCAATCAATGCTTGAAAGCTCTTAATGCTGGTTACAAGTGTACATAGGAAGAGTTAATGATATTTTCACATTATTGTACATGTCCTTGTCAGGTACCTTTGCTGCAGAGAAAGACAAAGTGGTGTTTGGCCTGGTGTCCCCTATCAACACCTTTGAGATCCTCTATGTTCAGGTGGGTTCCATCCGCCATCATTGGTGCGACCAGCATCTCACCTCCATCCCTCTGAGTGCAAACACCTTTTAGTAAATGAGGCATAGGCTCATGTTTCCCTTTGCTGGCTGAGTGGCTATTTGGTAATCATAACATTACTCCACTCTAAACAAACTGCCCAGCTGAGGGTGAAGGAGGCCAATAAAGTGAAATGCCAGGAGGTGGATGTTGTGATTATTTTCACTGCCCTCACTGTGAGCAATGACCTGCCCAATGAAAGCAGAAACGTTTCTACTCATGATAAGCCATAGCCGTTACGGCTTCATTAACATCCATCAGTTGAATGTTGTGTCTGATGTTTGACCTTTTGAATTTATTCTCTTTTAGTTACACTACTATTTGTATTTGGGGAGAAGATCTACCACTTTCAAGACTATCAGCGACAAATGTTTGACATTCATCAACGGCCCGAGTTGGAAACCTGGTAAACCTCGGCTTGGTGACCATCTCGACAATCCCAAGGTAGTAAACAACAATGTCCCTGTTTTTATATCTGTTTTTTCAGAATAGCACACTGGCTTCATTACCCATCATTTTTACACACGCAACACACTAAATGACTCAGAGCATTCCTTATTGAAGGATTCACATATTCTACAAGTTTTACAAGGAACTGCCACATCAAATAAAAGCTGCAAAGCCTTTGTTGAGGGAACACAATAAGTTCATTTTCACCGTCTTTAAACGCAGTCTGCGGGATTAAAACCGCATGCAGTTGAGTGTGAATGTGTGTGTGTGCAGAAAGAAATACAGGCTCCAGTCGAATGCCCCGGCGGTTAGCTTTGAAATAACGCTGATGGTGTCACATATTTAGTTCCCTCATGCTTCACACTCAAAAAATAAACCTCCCCTTTGCCTTAACAATTAAATTGGCCCCTTTAAACCCAGCGGTGTGATTCTAAACACGGACAGAGCTGGAATTGAACCGAAATATCTTGAAAGGCCTTGTGTAGACGGCTGCTAGTTGATATCTGCCGCTGAGGGAAAGAAAGGAAAAAGAGGGGGAGTGAGGGAGGAGAGGAGGCTGAACGTGTTTCAGCTCTTTGAGAATAAGCAGAGCAGCGTGCTGAAATACCTACAGGGCTGGGGATGGGATGCGGGGGAACCCACATGTGGTGGTTTGGTTCCTCGGGATCCTGGGAAACCCCCTGAATAAGACACAGGAATCATTGGCTAGGTTTTTTTACTCCATTCCAAAAAGGATGCAGTTTCAACACAAGGCCCTCAGGCATAATTACTTTTGGTCCGAAACAGACTAAAACAGGTCAATGACTCAGGGAATTCTTAAGAAAGGACTCATATAATACTGTGTGTTTGGGGAAAACAGCTGCACCCAGTAAATGCTTGTTGACTTTCTGCACGGAACAAAGCAGACTAATTGTCACCCATTTTTATAATTCAGCCTGAAAGAGATTGAAGCAACTTAAGTACTTTTTGTGGTGAAAATAAACACATTGGAAGTAAAAAAATTATCGGAAGAAAGTAAGATTATCAGAGAGTTTTAAACATGACATTTATGAGTTCAATTAATACATTTTCCTTTTTGAAAGGCTTCAAACATTCTCACTGACTCACTTTTCCTCTCTATTAGTTTTCATTTGGCATTACTTTATTCCAACTCTTGCCCTGATGCTGTTTTAATTCTCCTTTCCTTTATAAAAACAACAAGCTGAAAACAAAGTTTGTTTTGGTTGCAGTGTAAAAGTGCACGATTGAGTGTGAAATTGAAATAGAAAGCAAAAGAAGAAATGAATGAGTGGTTAAAAGGTGACATGCATGGATGCATAACCTCTGGGTTAAAAGAGCCTAAACAAGGACAATTACTAAATCCCTTCTACGAGAGAATGGATGCTACACAATCTATATCAGTACAACTTATATTTTGAAAAGGACACATTTGTATAACAACACATGTTTTTGTAGCGTTTTGCTCATTTTTGTAGCTTTACTGGTTTCTAAACAGTTGAATGGTCCTTGAGAAATAATACACCCAAAATTATATTTCATATGTATTTTTGCTGGTTGTTAATAAATAGTCATGTTATGAGTGTTTCACTGCCCTGACCAGTACAACCATACTGTAAATCTTCTGAACATGTTTAAATAAACATGAGATAAACTTCAGTGAATCATCGTCAAAATGTGGTGTGAGAATCAGTCCAGAATATTACTCTCCTTACCACAAATTAGGGATTGAGAAATTAAAAATATTTTATTTTCCATGTGCAGTTGACCGGACAGGAAGTGCCTCATGATCCCAGCTGGTCGCTGCCTTTACAAATGTATGTGATCATACATTTCCTGCTGGCACTGGGGACCTACCAAGATGTGTTTGACAACAAGATGGTATGTATTTGTCCTATACGACAAACTGTAAATGTTAAAAGCACATTGGGAGTCCTTTTGAAGGAGGGAGTGAATTCTGTAAGGTTGAAACTGTTGACCTTCTAGGTCACACACTGACTACTGTTATGTTTAGGTTACATTTATCCCTCATATAAAGTATGACAAGGTGGTCCAGGGCTCCTAATTTAAGACTGAGTGCTGCATGTTTGTATGCCAACATTATTTCACCCAATTATGCAGTTTGTTGTGGCTGGTCCATGGTCGAGTAGAGTCCTCTACTTAGCCAGCAGGAAAAGACTAGCTCTGACTAACATCATGACAGAGTGACTGATCGGCATTCCCCTTTAGAACAACCTTTGTCTATTATTTTCCACTCAACGAGCCAAAAGACCCCCTTCCTCCTCCGTCACAAAAAAGAGAAACAGGTCTCCTCAGCAGTTATCTTTGGAAGCCTTTTTTCCCCAGGCATAGTTTTGGTTAAAAAAGTGCTGCCACGCCCAGCCCCTTCAAACTCCCAAATAAAATGGCCTGTCTTTTTCTGATCACTACCTCCGTGGTGCTCCTTCAGTTGTGGTACACAAACTCGCACACGCACACACACACACACACACACACACACACACACACCACACACACACCCACACACACACACACACACCAACACACACACACACACACAACACACCCACAACACACACACCCACACACACACCACACACACACACAACACACACACACACACACACACACACACACACACACACACACACACACACACACACACACACACACACACACACACACACACACACACACACACACACACACACTTCCTTTCCAGGGTCGAGGGCTCCCCTCCCTCTCGGCGAATGAAACACCAGCTGGTGGTCCAGCAGTGAACACAAACGCCTTAATTGTCGAGTCAACCATTTCCCAACCCAAATAGCCTTCAGGATGCAGCAATCAGGACTTGGAAGGAAAATAACAAAGTGAGCGTTCTGGCCCAACAATAAATCATGTCACTCTTATGTATTTATACCCACATGTTCGCTAGGCGCTTATTCAGCTTGACAATTGATTATACACTGCCGGGCAATTTATGAGGATTGCATTAATCTGAAGCCATGAAAACATAAAGGAAGGCTAGTCTTCAATTACATCAGCAGCAGGCCAACGTTCACATTTTATTATAGGGTGCTAAACTGTTTCTATTACAGGCAGGGAGAGGAACTGACCATGCCATAAAGTCTTATCTCAGAACAACTCAATAACATTCGTGTGTTATGATGATTGCTAAAGGTGTGGACTTCAGACTCCAATTATGTGTAATCTGGGTGTGATTAAAGCAGATTTATTCTAAAAGCTCATACTAATTTGTGTCAGATGTCAACCCTCAGCATTTACAATGGTGCAAAGAAACTAAGTACATTTACCAAACATTTGTAAATACTGTACTACTTCTACTTCACTATACATCAGAGGTTAATATTGAACTTTGTACAATGCTATCCTTATGCAGATTCAGATTTATACTCACACAAATATGATGTATTATTATTATAGGTAAGATGAAAACTGATGCTGACACACGACTGCATCAATAATTATCATCCAGGTTTTATGTTATACATTAGTCTTAAAATAGCACTTCTGATTTTGGTTTTCTATCTTAATGCCAATACTTTAGTAGTACTTAAATTAAATATCTTAGTACTTTGTTCACCGAGCAGTTACATCTCTGGGAGTGAAAATAATCCTAAATAAGAAAATGTCCATAGCGTGTGAAGTTTTGAATGAAGATTTGAATTTTATATTAAAAAAGTATGAAGAGTATAGGATGTATATTATCTTAGTAACATTTTGCTACTGCTGAATTTCCTCAATGGTTACTCTGTCCTGCAAACCCTCATGAACTTCCCCATAATAACGGCTGCAATAAAAGCCTGAATAATGACTTAATCTGCCTCGTCTCAGGGGACAACAGAATAACACAATCATTACGCTGCCACCAGATGTTAACTTTCATTTCTATCCTGTTCTGTTATTGCTGCAGTTTGACACTTGTTCAACGTACAATTGAACACGAAGAAAGAAGCATTTCTTCATCCATGTTCTTTTTGAAAGGGTTTCATATGTGTAACCCCACCTGACGACTCTGAGGGATTTGGAGGGGATTTTCTCTCGAGCATGGCGTCTTGACCGCATGTGTTGACAGAGAGTCAAACAAACACATAAGATCATGTGACAAGAGTGTCTCAGCAGCTGAACCCCCTGGGTTATTGAACACAGATAAGTTCACATAACCTTTGATACCAAAATAATTCCTCTCGCTAAAAATAACTATATCTGTAGCCTTTGAACTCTCATGCAAGAATCAACTTTAATACACTTTGACAGTCTGGTTCCTTCAGTCTGATAGATGGAACAAGGCCAGAATTCCCCCCCCCCTGTTTGATTCACAGAAAACATAATTATATCATCCCTTTATGTTCCCATGAGGGTCTCCACACAATAAAGTTCTTGTCGGGGCTTATGGATTACGACTCTTGGATAAGACATACAGTTTTATTGCATCCTGTTGATGGGTTGATTTTATGTTTACTTTATATGGCCTTCTGGGTCGGAACAGTATGGGAGCAGTCAGTAAGATTTGGCTGTTAGACTCTGTATTGAGTGTCGGAGAAATATAAACCTAAGATGACAGCCCGTGGCATCCTCAGGAGACACCGGGCTTCCAGCTGCGGCCCCTGCCAAGGCCATAGGTTAGATAACACGAATTAGGCCGTACATCACGTTCTATACCGCTCAGTTTTTTTGTGTTCATCCCAAATAGCTCTCAAAAGGTCAGTGAGAGTCTGCATGGAATTTCTGATGCGATGTTGGTTGTTTTGGCTCAGCTTAGGGGCTATCGGGATACAAACTGCAGGCTCTTCCACTGTGGTCAAGTCCCCCGTCAAGACCCATCGTGTCTATATGAACTAGGCATGTCAGTGTAAAGTAAGAGGCCGATTACATTTGCTGCGGGATACTGAATGTGCCAGTACACTTATTCTGAAGGTAAGAGATGTTTTGGTTGGCATTGCCAAGTAAACAGTCAAACAGACGTGTGGTTTGTTACTGCTCTCCCACTAAGGTCTCCTGTGATCGTTACTTAACCAGCCATGATATTAATTTAAGGTTTCAATTCTAATGTATTTTTTCCCAACCACAAAAGTCTCATGGCATGCGAACATATGTTGATTCCTAGACGCTGTCACAGTTTAACATGCTGGGGATGACCGGCTACGTTCTGCTCACCCTCACTTCCATGGGCTTCCTTATCGATCAGAGGTACAGTACTGACATTTGTTCCTGTTTTAATTATGTTATAGTAACTTGTAAATGTATTAAGTAAGACTAGAAAAAGGGAAATGGCTCTACCCCCAGCATGTTGACTCCAAGGGGTCACAAGATACATCTGAACGGTCTTTATATAAGAATAACACTCACCCATCTGAGTAAGGCTTCTCCATCTCTTTTACTGGAATTGACGTCTTAGTAGATCGCAATCTCATCTTCGTCAGGGGTCAAATGTATTTGGACTCAATCAGCTCTGGAAATTGAATGGCCTCCCATTAAAAAATGTGATTATCTCTGTTACACCACAGCAGAAATGTGTCCTGGATATTTAGTCAAGGTACATACAGGTGAAGGTATTAAGCTGAAAGTGTTGTTGGTTGACATTTGCAGGCCAAGAGCGGCTGTCCTGGAGATGCTACGCTGCGTCCTCATGGTGACAATGCAGAGGTACGGCTATATGAAGCCCCTGCTGCCTACACTGGCTGTGACCACACAGGTAAGACCACGTGTAGTGTGTTATAATTCATTTTAAAGTAGCAGTGTTATAAGGCTGTATACTTCCTCCACTGACAAATATACCAAATAGCTTGCATTTAGAAGACTTTTGTGTTATACTTAGCATAGTGGACACAAAATAAGATAACACTTTTCTTCTGGAGATTTCAATCATTACATTGCATTTAGCTGACGCTTTTATCCAAAGCGACTTACAATAAGTGCGTTCGACCAACAAAATACAAACTTGAAGAAAACAGAATCATATAAGTACATCATGTTTCATAGAGCTAAAACATTTCAAGTGCTACTCAACTGGCTTTAGATAAGCCAGCCCTTTATTAGTATATAAGTGCTTTGTTAATAGTTCTATCGCTCAAAATGGAGTCGAAAGAGATGAGTTTTCAGTCTGCGCCGGAAGACATGCAAGCTTTCTCCTGTCCTGATGTCAATGGGGAGCTCATTCCACCATCTTGGAACCAGGACAGCAAACCCACGTGTTTTTACTGATGGGAACTTGGGTCCCCCTCGCAGCGAGGGTGCAGCGAGCCGTTTGGTTGATGCAGAGCGGAGTGCACGTGCTGGGGTGTACGGTTTAACCATGTCCTGGATGTAGGAAGGGCCAGATCCATTCGCTGCATGGTAAGCAAGTACCATTGTCTTGAAGTGGATTCTAGCAGTTACCGGAAGCCAGTGAACCTTCATTTAGGGTTTTTTTCCTTACTTTTGCATTTTCAGATTCATCATACATACTTTCCAACTGTCAATTTGACAGACAGACAATCTTTCTTATTATAGCCCTAAACTAAATCTTCAAATGACAGCATTATGTACCCCTTTGTGTGTGTGTGTGTGTGTGTGTGTGGTTGTGTGTGTGTGGTGTGTGTGTGTGTGTGTGTGTGTGGGTGTGTGTGTGTGTGTGTGTGTGTGTGTGTGTGTGTGTGTGTGTGTGTGTGTGTGTGTGTGTGTGGTGTGTTGTGTGTGTGTGTGTGTGTGTGGTGTGTGTGTTTGTGGGTGTGTGTGTGTGTGTGTGTGTGTGTGTGTGTGTGTGTGTGTGTGTGTGTGTGTGGGTGTTGTGTGTGTGTAGCGTCTGATGTGTGTGTTGTGTGGTCTGAAATGTGTTTGCGCTGGGTGCTAAGTCCAGCCCAGCTCTGTGATCTATGAGTCCAGATGCGCCTCCCAATTGACCATAAAATTGGCGTGCCTTTCTGGCTCTGGCAGCCTAACTGTAGATGGCGGCTGACCTCTCATTACTTGCGCCCCCTCCCTCCCTTCGACGGCCTCTTTTTTTTTGTTCTGCCCGCCCCTTCTTGCCATCTTAGCCAGTGTGAACAAAAGCAACACTTCTGGAACCAATTAGTGCCGTCTGCCCGCTAACTAGAGCTGCCTGATGAGATTTGCACGTGAGCGCTGAATCGCAGCTTTTTTTGTTCTCTGCTGACTCCACTGTGCTGCTCAGGTGTTCAAAAGACAACTCGAGGCTTTGCCACCTTTTCGTTTTCTCATCGTAAAATGGAATGAAACTGAATGAATTATAATGTCTTAAGTGCATATCCAATCAGCTTCAGAGCATAAAACGTCTTGATTCATGCTGCACGTGCTGCACGGCTGTGTCACTTTGACAACGCTGTAAGTTGTATGCAGCCGTTTCCTTAAGCGAATCATTAGGCCTCATTTCAAGTCGCAGTACATCAACTTGAGCTAAATAAATGTCCTGCTTGCAGGTGGGGCTCATTGAAAATCCACACAATTTACTTCAATTGGTTCCTGACATATTTGTGCCATTTGCTCAGATCTACAGCAAAGGGAAAAAACATGAAACCACCCCCAAACTTGAAGGTACTTTAATGATATATGGGTTTGACGTGTGAGGTGAACGGCCAACTCTTTGTTGCAGTGGGGGGGCGTGTTTTGAAGTCGGGCCAATCAATTAACAGTCACTCGAAATGGAGGAGGGTAAATTCACATTTAATTGTATTCAGGCTCATGCGACTGTACAGTTCGGAAAAGGGGGGGTGACTGAAAAAAAAACTAGGTTGGTTTGTGGTCCATCAAACCCAGTGGTGTGATATACTGCACCCTTAAAGCTCACAGTGGTATTTATAGTGGCTCTGGAGATTTCCCTTGTAAAGCTGCAGGCTTGACCTGTAAACCAGGGCTGCCTCTCTCTCCCATCCGCCCACTCGCCCGCCCCAAACCCCCGTCTGTGTGGCGCACATGAAGAATTGGTTCAGATGAGACGAGGCTGGTATCCGGGTGTGAGAATGAGCAGGGGGGCGGGTTGTATGAGGTTATAGCTGTCTGTGCGAGTGCCGTTGTGTGTGTTTGTGTATGAGCATCTTTACTTGTGTGTATAGAGTAGTTGTACTCATCTCAATCCTAAACCAATCTCAGGTTGTGTCATTATGGACGCACACAAAAACAACCCAACTGATTATGGCTTTTTGATGCATGCACTGAGATCAATAGAGATTTAGGAAATCTGGTAATAATACATTAGCGCGTTTTCCTTTTTAAGATACATGTATAAGATTAATAAAAGTTTTTATGACTAAGATGTAACCGACTGAGTGGGACATTTTATAGAGACTGCACAAACTATATAATGGGGACATTTTCTAAATATGTTTTTGGGCCAATAAATGCCAAAATCCAGAGATCTTGAATATGCAAAAGTTTGCTCGGCTTATTCATCAGATTTACAAAAATAAACAATTATCACTGCAATTAGCAACTTTACAGACCCCTACCTCACGCACAGTGCAACTGCTTCTGATATCTGCAACCAAGGACTGGAGCTAATACAGTATCTGCAAATCAGGCCCGGTTCCAGAACAAAATGACTCGGGGTGCATCTGAGATTAGAGAGGGTGCAGTGGTAAAGTGCTATTTTTATAAGTGGGGAGTGCAGCCTAACACCCTCTATGGGGGTCTTCACCTCCTCTAGGGGGGTCCGGGGGCATGCTCCCCCAGGAAGATTTTTTTTTAAATATTGAAGTTAAAAGCATCAATCTGGTGCACTTTGAGAGCAAAATGAAGAGATCTATGGATACCCCTCTCAACACCCATATGAAACAGAACTGCAAACAGATTTACTTTTTCTTTGTGGATCTTTTACAAATCACTCCCCTTTCAAGACCGAAATGTCTACATGCATACTGTAGCAGAAGATGGCATCTTTTTTACAGGAATATTCCAGCCAATCTGTTTTGAAACCATGAGCTGCAAAATGAGCGCCTTACAGTACAGTACACTGTACAGGCGAGTTGGGTTACTTTTTAATATACCTGGGCAGGCTCTGTTTTGCCGAGGTCCTCTGGCACTTGCGGGCCCCTGAGGGGTGGGGGGTGTTTGGGGCAACGGAGACGGCTGCGGCTGCTCCGCCTCCGTGGGCGAGGCGGGCAAAGCCGTTGAGTCGGGCGGGAGGACGTTATTGTCACGACAGTGGCCGGGGGTAACTTAATGTCCCCATGATCTGAACTGTTATTACCTGCAGTAGATGCAGTGTTACTGCTGGCGATAAGGGCTGGTTGTTTTAACCATTTTCTGATGTCCATCATTGACTGCTGTGTAAGCACCTTGCAGGTGACGAACGTGCAGCGGCACAGGTCACGCGCACCTGACATAATAACGTTACTTACCGTTTAAAGTGACCAAATAAATGCAGCAGACAATGTTATTTAACCACAATTACAATTTATTTTATTTAAATTATATTCTTCTTCTTCTTCTTCTTCTTATTATTACTACTATTGTTATTGTTATTATATATGTAATATTTTTCACTTTTCATTTTTCTAATGAGGGTGCATAACGACTCAACTGAGGGTGCAATGCACCCTTATGCACCCCCGTAGAACCGGGCCTGCTGCAAATGCTTGACGTTTGTACTTGAAATAAACATTTAAATGATCAGGATTTTCACTATTCCATCAAAAAGCCCACCTATATTTTCACCTTTGTGCATGTGGGGTTCTCAGTAATTACCTAAATAAGCACTTTTCTTGCAATTTGTCAACAGCAAATCCACAATATAAACATAGTTTTTATTGCAGGGTTGTACTTGATAGCATTATGTCTGTGGGATATCCCGCTGTCTAATCATGTATTTCTGTGTGTTGAGTATCAGGGGTGTTGGTTTGTACTGTAATTATGTAACACATGCTTTTGTTACTGTGTGGGCCCCTGGTTTGCCTGAAGGCACAGGGCATCATGCTGTGGAGCTGAACTCAGACGCTGTATATCGCAGAGTAATTAATCAGCTCTTCTCTCAAAACGGCAACTGCTGGTGAAGTCACAGTAATTTAAGAGGAGAGCTCATAAAAATACACCTGTCTTTGGTTGAGAGCGAGAGAGCGTCTCAGGGCTTCCTGTTGAGTAGAAATAATGTTTAAATTTAACTTTTTGGTTTAAAATCCACTGAAAGTGTAGTCTACACGCCATTCAGTTTTTATTTCTGTCAGTTCTCCTTTTATGTAGTTATGAAAGATGCAAACATAAGCCATAAGGAATAATAAAGCCTCAGAATATTGTCTACTTTCCTATTATTTTACAATATGACTGGGTTGTTTCCATATCATTAATAGGTTCAAGAAGTGGTACATTGGCTCATGCAAGTTGGACATTTGAGAAGCAGATATAAATCTATGTGATCCAGTCCAATCTTGAACATTAAAATCTTTCCATCTCTGTGCTGATAGGGTTCCAATCTGAAATCACTTTTGTCAGACATTCAAGGGAAAGATAAATGATCCATGGCCAGAGGAAGAGGTCAGAACAATATTGTTAAGGTTATGTCAAACAGAAAGGCACAAAGTGATGTTATCTTAAACACATCACCTGATTTGTCTGCAAAAGTGAAAAACCCAACCCTTTGTCCTGCTATCGCAGCCATGAGCCATGAGATAAGGCAGCATAAGGTGAGAGGTCAGCGTTATCTGAGAGTGTAGTTTCCACTCGCCAAATCTCAGGTGCAAGGGGTCAGTGGCCTTTTTTTGAAGCAGGAATGTGTGGTAGCAAGAAGCAGCGCTGAGGTTAACAGGATTGTTTTGGAGCAATGGAAACTCTGCGAGCATGACATCATCTGAGAGCTTGCAGGAATGGAAAGGAAAGGAAATCTCCTCCCAGGGAGAAAATGG